TAAAAGTTTTTCTTTTGAAGCCAACGAAATACTTTAGTAATCTCCTGAACAAAGTTTCAAATAAATAAATGTTATTCAAATGATTGCCGATTCTAGAGTTTGAATTCTCTTTGATGGATTTCGAATTGGAACAGCGGACGACGGCAAAAATAATTGATAAAATTAGGCTCATGTTCAAATCTAATATGTTAAATTCTTTAATATAATAATTAAAGTCCATTTTTTAGTGAAAAGTTCCGAATACTTACTTTGACCCAAAATTTTCTAAAAGTTTCCATGAAAGTGTGCTATAACTCTGGGTTTAGTGTCCTCTTGCAAATGGAATGTAATGTGCATAAGTATCCCCGTTGAAGAAGAAAAACGTGAATTTGACAAGTTCATGACTATATTTGCATGACTAATTCAAGTTTCAGTCTCCCACCACGATGGCTGAGAATTTATCAGAAAAAGAAAAAAAAAAAAATTTAGATGTGACATCTAGTGGTCATATAAACTCGTATCAAATAGGCAGGTCGTAGTAGTATATGGGAGTTAAATCTTTTTTTTGTTTCCTCTAACATTATCTAGTTTTAAGAAAAAAATTAAGTTGTTATTATGAAATTGAGCATGCATGATAGTTAGAACAGAACACGACTAAAGGGAGAAATTGAAAATAAAACGAGCACAAGGATCTTACAAGGAAAACCCCACTAAAATTTGAGGTAAAAAATCATGAACAATTATAGAAGGATTCCACTATAATAAGATAATTGCAATCTCTCTCTAGATATATAGGAAATAACAACAATTAGTATATCATACACTAGGAGAAACAAAAATAAGAAACACTCAATACTTTATAAATCTCTCTACTCACTATTTCTACCATGTAAAGGACATAATTATTACTAATCTATGGTTGTGTACTTTCTCTTTGAACTACATTATTTCTCTATGATAGCGAAATGTTACCATGTGCCTCGTTAAATATTGTTAGAATTGGGTTGTGACATAAATTCTTGTTAAGTATTTGATTAGAAATATCGTTAGAGATGTATTGGAAGTTAGTAGTAGTCTAGAAGAAATTTTGAAGGAGTTTAAGGAGGATAAGGAAAGGGAGAAAGATTCCCCTTTTTGACAAATTTTTGACCCTTATTTCATCCCAAGTACTCTATTATTGGTTTTACCCATTGTTTTGAAAATTTTAAACTCTTCGTGTATTAATTTTCCTAGTATGTTAGGGATTCTTTGGCTATAAATATGTAGTGTACAACACATATTGAAATTGACCTATTGGCCAATTAGTTATTGGTCCAAAGAGGTCCTTTATAACTCCCTACTATTAATTATAGTAAATTCTCTATCTTTGCCCGTGGCTTTTCAGGATTTGGGTTTCTAGGTAAATCTTGTTTTCTTCGTGATCATTTATTTTCATATTGCCCATATTATTTTCATCTTTATTATTTGATCGAATTCTCAACAAAGTGGTATCAGAGTTGTTCCGCTTTCAACAAAGTAGTTTCAAATTTGATTCAATTTTTTAACAATTATAACTCAATTTGTTAAATTAGGTCTACACCTCTTGTACACTATTGGCGAAAATTGTGCCAATTTCACTTCTTCACATATCGTGGGAAGACTTCTTCACAATAAGCCAAATGTATTTAATCTTATTATCAATGTTCTAAAAGTCATAAAACATGACAAGGTGTGGAGCCGAAACTTCAAGCTTTATGAGTTTAGGTGAGGTTTATGTGTAAAAAAAAAAAATGTTTTCTTATTTATAATATTATTTTTTATTTTAAAAATCATTTAATAATTAAAATATTAAATATTAAACATTTAATATTATAAAATACAATATTTACCTAATAACTCCTACCATTAGTCAATTATACAATTTTCAAGTTTTCAAAATGCAAAAAATAGGATTTTTTTTAGTTTCAATTTTAAACTAGATAAGTCCTACTTAATATATTTATAGGAACTCCAAACATACTTTTGGAGTTTGTAATAAAATAAGTGTCAAGATCATAATTACATAACGTCGATAACACCATGACTTAAATCTTATTTAACTATTTAGATAAAGTCATTTTTAACTTTTGTACAAATAAATTCTTTTAAAACTTGAAAGTAAAGTCAAATAAAAGACTTTTAAAAAAATAAATTAAAAAAAAAAACTAAAAAGGCAGATCTACAGAAGAGGAAAGAAATGAAGGACAAATTCAATCGTTTAGGAATTGAAAAAATAAATAAATAAAAAAACTAAGTTCAAAGCGAGGCATTTTGCTCGAGCTTTGAGTCTAAACGAGCTTTTTAGAACATTGCTTAGTATACATGCAATAGTAACAAAAAAATAAGGAACAAAAAAAAAGGGGAAATTCACATTCATTTGTACTTAGTCAATTGAATAAAACAGGTGTTACTAAGAAAGACGAACCTTATAAGCCCCTACCGAGAGAGAGAGAGAGAGAGTTTTATTTGAATTTGAACTACTAAATATACAATCTAGAAGATGTCCAAATTTGATATTTTTTTACCAACTTTCGATGGCCACCGGTAACAATATTCACTTAATTAGTCATGGCTGCCAAATGTGCACAGATCATATGGAAAAGTTTCTAAAATGGCAGGCCATTTTCTGTCATGTTTCTATATATAGTGAATAAATGGTAACGCAAATAACATTAAGTACTCCTACAAGTTTCAAATTCAAGAAATGGCATTTCTTATTGGAGAACAATCTACTGAGCTTCTACAAGCTCAAGCCCACGTTTGGAACCACATATTCAACTACGTGAACTCCATGTCTCTCAAATGTGCAACTCAACTAGGCATACCAGATATCATCCACAGACATGGCAAACCAATGACACTTGAAGAGCTAGTCGATGTCCTCCACCTCAACAGTGCAAAAGCACAGGCTGTGTACCGTCTGATGCGGATTCTAACTCATTTAGGGTTCTTCGTTGAGGAAAAAGTCTCTGAGGATGATTCAAATATGGGATATTGGCTTACACAAGCTTCTCGTCTCCTCCTCAAAGATGATGCCTTGAGTTCACTACCATTTTTACAAGTCGCTCTCGATCCGCTCTTGATAAAGCCATGGCATCATATGAGTGAATGGTTTGAAAATAATGAGGACTCCTCTGCTTTTGAGACGGCCTATGGAAAGACATTTTGGGGCTATGGCAGTCAGGAGCCGAAGATGAATCTCCTGTTCAAAAAAGCAATGGCTAGTGACACACAGTTGGTGAGTAACGTAGTTACTAGAGATTGCAAACAAGTCTTCCAAAAGTTGAAGTCAATTGTGGACGTTGGTGGTGGCACGGGATCGTTGGCCAAAGCTATTGTCGACTCTTTTCCGGACTTACAATGTGTCGTGTTTGATCTACCACATGTTATTGCGGGCTTAGAAGGGACAAAAAATTTGACCTACGTTGGAGGAAACATGTTTGAGACTATTCCTCGTGCAGATGCACTTTTGCTCAAGGTATGGAGTTTGTTTATACGTCCAACTAACAAAATTGAAACTTTTACATTATTTTGCAACTGATTTTAATTAATATTGGCTATTCAAAATACTAACTCGCTTGTTAATACAAATTAATTCCATGCATACGCTCCAAATCCAACTTAAGAGGTAGTACCATTTTTTTTTTTTTTTTTTTACACTAGAACTATTTAACCGTATTGCCATCAAATTTACTCATTTGACATGAAATAATGGTCATCATACATAATATAGAAAGCTTTAAATTATTTTTAAATACTGAATTTACAATTAAGACAGATTGTGAAGTTATAGTAAAATTTATTTAAAAGAAAAACTTTGATAAGATAAGACATAAAAGATGGTTGAAATTATATGAGATATTAAGCAACTATAAAATTAATATAGAACATATTGACCGAAAAAATAATATTTTAACAGAAAATTTAAATAGGTAGGTTATTAATTTTCTAACTCATTATCTTCATGGTGCAGATGGATCAAAGGATGATAAACTTTGGGAATGTCACTCTGAGAGTGGCCCCTCAAGAATCTAATATTCGATTCAAAGGAAATAATTTAAAAAGACTACCAGGAAGGGAGCGTTGTCTACTGGATAATCTCTGGATGACACGTAACTTAAACAAAAATTAGATAGCATAAATGCCCTAGCTAACCATTTAGACAGACTCATAATCAAATAGAAAGTAAAAATTTTAGTTTCTTTATAGTAATTAAAGGTAGAAAGCCTGGTTATTGGCCAGAAGTACTACAACAAGTAGAAAGATTTTCTGACCCTCTTTTCAAAGGATTTTATACGTTTGAAGAAGTTTTAAATTTTTGTAGAGAAATGATAGGATTTAATTTTCATATTTTCGAAAGAATTAGACAGACCATGCAAACCCCCTCTCAAGCTTCGTCATCATCTTCATCAATACAATTTTGTGATAGTTGTGAAACTATGACCAAAGTTGTTAGAAATTTAAATCTTAGAAAGCATTCTTTAGAAGAAAGACTATAACTCCTTGAAGATCAAATTTTCTCGTCCCAACAAACTATTAATAAATATCAAAATGAGATTCTTAAATTGCATAATAGTTTAGACAGACTTAGTTTTAGAGATATTCTTGAAAAACTAATTTCTAAAGACATCGCCTCTACAAGTAGAAATTATTCTGATAAAATAGAAAAACTGATTGAATTAACGGATTCTATATCTGCAGGACAAGAAAAGACTTTATACGAATTAGAACAAATAATTGGTGATTGCGCTAGTATTGTTGAAAGTTCTATAAAGAATTCTGTTGTACAGGAAATTATAGATTTTTCTCAAATTTTAAGTTACTAATATAATGAAAACAGATACTTCCTTAGACATGGTCTCAAATACGATGCAGCCCAAAACTAAGCCTTTCTTAAACACAATTATCCAACAATTTCCTTTGATTATACAATCTTTGAAGAAGAAGACATTTTTTACCCAACTTTAAGTTTGGAATGATAGATACTATATACATATTAAGCAAATCTTTTCGATTTTTTCCACCGAAACTTAAACATATTACTGATCAGTTAAAAGATCATCCCTTAATGATTCAATTCATTTCCGTACCCCCTCATGTAAATAATGGCATTGTAATTCTAGCTTATCATCATATTTTAATTTATGAAGGAGCCAAAAGATTTAGACCCTCTTCAAGGACGAATATTAAAATAAAAATTTGACAGATTGATAATGAAAGAAGGATATCAAAAATCGCAGCCATGATGAAAGTTCAAAATAATGATTTCAAATTAGCAGCTCAATGGAACAACGGAATTATTTTCTGCCAAGAACACCTTGTTATGAGAACTAAAGCAGAAAAAATTCCTAGTATCAAATGTTGAACAAAAGAATTTATATCTGATGACGTTTCAAGAGACTAATGAAGAATTTACAGAAACTCTATCAGATACAGGAGAGAAAGCATACATATCTGATGGCAATGAAAATGAGATGGATCCAGAACTATAAGAAGACATAGCAGAAATGATGGAAAGATAAATAATTGAAAAAGACAAGATAGAAAGACAAAAAATTAATTACCAATACAAGGAAGTCAAAAAGAAGGCGCGTAAAGATAAAGCTTTTGAACATATTTCAAAAATCTGTAAAGTTGATTCCCATATTTCAAGAAAAGTCAAGCATGAAGACAAAAATTGTCAGAATCATCCTTCAGAAATTTGTAGTCTATTTTAATTAGATTAAAGGGTAGAGCCTGTAGTGCTAAATTTATTCATCCAATAAAAAAAATACTCATATTGCGTCTCTTTCTTATTACAGAATGTGATTTTTATCTTATTTTTTTCTCATTATATAAATTTGCTCGAATCAAGTGAAATCAAAGATCTTTTTTGGGGTGTTCTAATAAAAAAAAGAAAAGAAAAACGATTTTCAAGCACCATATTACAAGTCATAAATTAGAGAAATACTTTGGTGCAATGCATTGTCCAATCCATGGGTGGATTCAGGATTTGATCAAAGATCGGGCTATAAAATTTCAATTCGGGTTAATACGCGAAAAAAAATTTACACATAAAAACTGTTTTTACAATAAAAAAAAATGAAAAATGCCTCACAAAAAAGGGGGGGATTCACAATTAAGGTATTAAGTATTGACAATTCAATTCTCATGTCTAAAGTTTTGAAATTGCAAAAATCAGGTTTTCATTTTTTAATTAAATATATTTTATTATTTGAAAATAATAAGGTCACATTTATATCATTAATGGTCACAGGTTCATAATTATAAGTCACAAACTTATTTATTGGTCACATATTATTAAATTAATTTGTCATAGATTATTTCAAGGTCACAAATCAAAAAATTTATAGGTCACAGTTTATTTAATTGGTTACAAATGAAAAAAATTATAGGTCACAATTTATCTATTGATCACATATTTTCGGATTTGTTGGTCACAATTATCAAATTTTAAGGTCACGGGTAATCAAATAATCAGTCACCGGGCAAATAGTTGGTCACATTATATACCACCATCACCGCCACTTTCCACCATCCTCACCCCATCATTGCTGCCAACCATCATCTCGCCGTCGACACTATCACCACCGCCAATTCCACTATCAACAATAACCACCCAATTTCTTTGATAAAACCAAAACACGACCACCATCATCGCTCCAACAACCAAAAAAACATTACCAACATCACCACCAACAAAAACAACCACAAGGTACCCAACTCAAAAAAATAAAAATAAAAATAAATGCAGGGCAGTGGGCAATGCAGCGCCACCATCTCTAACGGCAATGGATGAGGCCACCACTGCTGAAAATCGAACCGACACTCACATTTGTGAGTCCAAGAAAAGGAGGCATCGCGCCCCTTGCAGCAAGCCGGTCTCACACCGAAATCGACACCAGTCTTCAGAGCGTCGCCGCCACAATGATGACGTCGTCGTGAGGGTGGTTCACCCGATGAGATAGCGGCTCCTCATAGAATGGTCTCACCATGTAAGACTGTGCTTGCCAAAGTTTTTCTCCATAGATTGGGACAACTAAGCAAGGTAGTCATAGCTATAATTTAGAGTTGTGAAAATTGTTTATCACAACAAATAAATGATATGGAAGTCCATATTTTCAAACATCATATATTGTTTTTTCTTAAACTCAACCTCTTTTTGTACGCGAGGCAAATATTGCACAATCAGAGGTAGATAATATGGAACAAACAAAAGGTGTTGTACATTTGATAGAACAACCAGTGGGAAAGAGACATTGGCAATATGAATCTCTAGGTGCCAACCCATCACCGCCAATACCATCAGTGGAAAAAGCCCCAATTCTTGAGTTAAAGTCGTTGCCATCACACCTACGTTATGCATACTTGGGAGATTCTACAACACTTCCAGTAATCATTGCAGATGAGATGATAAAGGAGGAGGAGAATAAATTATTAGAGATACTCAGAAAGCACAAAACTACAATTGGATGGACAATAGCCGATATAAGAGGAATCAATCCTACTTTGTGTATGAGCAAGATTTTAATGGAGAACGAGTCAAGCCAACAATGGAAGGACAACGAAGACTAAACCCAACTCTGAAAGAAGTAGTGAGAAAGGAAGTGTTGAAATTGCTAGATGTAGGTATTATCTATCCCATCTCTGATAATTCTTGGGTGAGTCCAGTGCATATAGTCCTTAAAAAGGGTGGAATTACAGTAGAGAAGAATGAGAACAATGAGCTGATACCAACACGATCAATAACAGGATGGAGAGTATGTATAGATTACAGAAAGTTGAATAATGGTACAAGAAAAGATCACTTCCCATTGCCCTTCATTGATCAGATGTTAGAGAGGTTGGCAGGCCATTCTCATTACTACTTTCTAGACGGATATTCAAGGTACAATCAGATAGTCATTGCTCCAAAAGACCAGGAGAAAAAAACATTCGGATGTCCCTGTGGTACATTTGCATTTAGAAGGATGCCTTTTGGTCTATGCAACGCACCTATAACCTTTCAGCGGTGCATGATGGCCATATTCTCTGACATGGTGGAAAAATATATCGAGGTATTCATTGATGATTTTTCAGTGTTTGGAGGTTCTTTTGATGAATACTTGGAACGGCTATCACTTGTATTACATAGGTGTGAAGAGAAGAATCTGGTGCTCAATTAGGAAAAGTGCCACTTTATGGTGAAGGAGGGAAAAGTGTTGGGCCACAGGATTTCCTCAAAGGGTATTGAAGTTGACAAAACCAAGATACAAGTAATTGAAAAATTGAAGCCGCCTAATTCAGTTAAGGGGATCAAAAGCTTCTTGGGACATGCAGGGTTTTACAGAAGGTTCATTCAAGATTTCTCAAAAATTACAAAACCTTTGTGTAATCTATTGGAGAAAGATGTGTCATTTCACTTCTCTAATGAATGCTTAAATGTCTTTAACACTTTGAAAGAGAAGTTAACTTCTGCACCTATGATAGTGGCACCTGACTGGGATCTACCTTTCAAACTTATGTGTGATGCTAGTGAGTTTGCAGTGGGAGCGGTGCTTGGCCAACGTAAAGGGAACGTGTTACATGTCATCTACTATGCAAGCAAAACCTTGACAGATGCTCAGATAAACTATGCAACAACTGAAAAAGAGATGTTAGCAGTGGTCTTTGCCTTCGACAAATTTCGTTCGTATCTAATTGGTTCAAAGGTGATAGTCTACATTGATCATGCAGCCTTGAAATATATGTTCGAGAAGAAGAATGCTAAACCTAGGCTGATTCGATGGGTTCTATTACTACAAGAGTTTGACATTGAAATTCGTGAAAAAAAAGGTACTGAAAATCAGGTAGCAGATCACTTATCAAGGCTAGAGCAACTACAAGACTCAGATGATGTGGATATCAATGAGGTCTTCCCAGATGAGCAATTATTGCTTGTAGAAAAGGCTCCATGGTATGCAGACATTGTTAATTACTTGGCTAGTGGCTATTTGGATCCAGATCTCACCTACCAGCAGAAGAAGAAGCTATTCCATGAAGCGAAATTATATTATTGGGATGATCCAAATTTATACAGAAGAGGGGCAAACCAAAATATTAGGAGATGTGTGCCAGAAAATGAGATGAAACCCATCCTGTCAAGGGTTCATGCTTCAGCTTATGGAGGACACTTTGGCCCAACTAAAACAGCAACGAAGGTGCTTCAATGTGGTTTTTTTTTCCTACATTATTCAAGGACTGCCACAGTTTCTACCGGTCATGTGATAAATGTCAAAGAACAGGTAACATTTCAGCTCGTCATGAGATGCCACTTAACAACATTCCGGAGGTGGAAATATTTTATGTCTGGGGAGTTGATTTCATGGGTCCTTTTCCACCATCTTACAACAATCGGTACATCTTAGTGGCAGTGGACTACGTCTCCAAATGGGTGGAAGCCAAAGCTTTGCCTACAAATGATGCAAGGGTAGTGATGGACTTCATAAAGAAACACATCTTTAACCGCTATGGATCACTAAGGGCCATTATAAGTGATGGTGGAACTCACTTCCGTAATTGGTTATTCCAGGCAGTGCTGAATAAATACGGGGTACAACATCGAATAGCCACACCATATCATCCTCAAACAAGTGGACAAGTTGAAACTTCTAATCGACGGCTGAAAAGAATTATGGAACTCACGGTGAATTCATCTCGAAAAGACTGGTCTAAAAAATTGGAGGATGCATTGTGGGCCTATCGCACAGCGTACAAGAAGCCAATTGGAATGTCACCATATCGAATAGTCTCTGGGAAAGCATGCCATCTCCCAGTTGAGTTTGAACACAAAGCGTACTGGACATTGAAGCAGTTGAACATGGATCTAGAGAAAG